AAAAAAAAAAAAAACTAGAAAAATCACAAATGCACAAGGAAACCTTACACCTAAAAGAGCTGGAGAAGGAACAGCTAATAAAGTCTAAATTCAGTAGGAGAATAGAAATAAAGATTAGAGCAGAAATCAATGATATACAAGTCAGAAGAACAGTAGAACAGATCAACAAAACGAGGAGCTGGTTTTCTGAAAGAATTAATAAGACAGATAAACCCTTGCCAGTCTTACAAAAAATAAGAAGAGACAGGACTCAAATAAATAAAATCATAATGAAATGAAAGAGGAGAAATAAATGAAAGAGGAGAAATCACAACCAACACCAAAGAAATACAAACAATTAAAAGAGAACATTATGAGCAATTATATGCCAACATATTAGGCAATCTGGAAGAAATGGATGCATTCCTAGAAACATATAAACTAACAAAACTGAAATAGGAAGAAACAGAAAACCTGAATAGACCCATAGCCAGCAAGGAAATTGAAACAGTAATCAAAAGTCTCCCAACAAATAAGAGTCCAGGGCCAGACAGCCCCCCAGCGAATTCTATCAAACATTTAAAGAAAAATTAATACCTAGTCTTCTGAAGCTGTTTCAAAAAATAGAAAAGGAAGGGAAACTTCTAAACTCATTCTATAAGGCCAGCATTACCTTGAACCCAAAACCAAAGACCCCACCGAAAAGGAGAATTACAGATCAATATCCCTGATGAACATGGATGCCAAAATTCTCATTAAAATACTAGCCAATAGGATCCAATAGGACATCAAAAGAATTATTCACCATGACCAAGTGGGATTTATTCCTGGGCTGCAAGAGTGGTTCAATATCCACAAATAAATCAATGTACTATACCACATTAGTAAAAAAAAGGACAAGAACCGGGGATCCCTGGGTGGCTCAGTGGTTTATAGCACCTGCCTTTGGCCCAAGGCGTGATCCTGGAGTTCCGGGATCAAGTCCCACGTTGGGCTCCCTGCATGAAGCCTGCTTCTCCCTCTGCCTGTGTCTCTGCCTCTGTGTGTGTGTGTGTGTGTGTGTGTGTGTGTCTTTCATGAATAAATAAAATCTTAAAAAAAAAAAAAAGGGACAAGAACCAAATGATCATATGATCATCTCAATAGATGCAGAAAAAGCATCTGACAACATAAAGCGTTCTTTCTTAATAAAAACTCCCTGCCATGTAGGGACAGGAGGAACATAACTCAATATCACAAAAGCCATCTATGAAAAACCCACAGTGAATATCATCCTCAACAGGGAAAAACAGAGCTTTTCCCCTAAGATCAGGAACATGAAAAGGATGCCCACTCTCACCTCTGTTGTCCAACATAGTACTGGAAGTGTTAGCCTCCACAATCAGACAACAAAAAAGAAATCAACAACTAAGTAGTAAAACTTTCACTCTTCGTAGATGATATGATACTTTATGTGGAAAACTCAAAAGGTTCCACTCCAAAATTGGCAGAACTGATACAGGAATTCAGCAACATGGCAGGACACAAAATCAATGCACAGAAAAAGAAAAAAAAATGCACAGAAATCAGTTGCATTTCTACACTAACAATGAGGCAGAAAAAAGAGAAGTCAAGGAATTGTTCCCATTTACAATTGCACCAAAAACCATTAGATACCTAGAAATAAACCTAACTAAAGAGGTAAAGGATCTGTACCCTAAAAACTACAGAACACTTATGAAAAAAATTGAGGAAGACAAAGAGATGGGAAAACATTCCATGCTCATGCATTAGAAGAATAAATATTGTGAAAATGTCTATGTTACCCAGAGCAGTCAACACATTCAGTGCAATCCCTATCAAAATACCATGGACATTTTTCACAGAGCTGGAACAAATAATCCTAAGATTTGTATGGAACCAGAAAAAAACTCAAATAGCCAAAGGAATGTTGAAAAAGAAAACCAAAGCTGGGGACATCACAATGCCTGACTTCAAGCTGTTTTACAAAGCTGTGATCATCAGGACAGTATGGTACTGGCACACAAACACATAGATCAATAGAACAGAGAACACAGAAATGAACCCTCAACTCTATGGTCAATTTATCTTTGACAAAGCAGGAGAGAATATCCACTGGAAAAAGACAGTCTCTTCAATAAATCATGTTGGAAAATTTTCATGTAGAAGAATGAAACTGGACCGTTTTCTTATACCATCCACAAAAATAAACTCCAAATGGATGAGAGACAAGAATCCATCAAAATCCTAGAGAACACGCAGCAATCTCTTTGTGACCTCGGCCACAGCAACTTCTTGCTATACCTGTCTCCAAAGGCAAGGGAAACAAAGACAATAATGAACTATTGGGACTTCAAGATAGAAAGCTTCTGCACAGCAAAGGAAACAGTCAACAAAAGTAGGCAACCTAGAGAATGGGGGAAGATATTTGCAAATGACATATGAGATAAAGGGCTAGTATCCAACATCTTCAAAGAACTTATCAAACTCAGTGGTATATGCATACAATGGAATATTACTCAGCCATTAGAAACGACAAAAACCCACCATTTGCTTCAACGTGGATGGAACTGGAGGGTATTACGCTGAGTGAAATAAGTCAGTCAGAGAAGGACAAACATTATATGGTCTCATTCATTTGGGGAATATAAAAAATAGTGAAAGGGAATAAAGGGGAAAGGAGAGAAAATGAGTGGGAAATATCAGAGAGGGTGACAGAACATGAGAGACTCCTAACTCTGGGAAACGAACAAGGGGTGGTAGAAAGGGAGGTGGGCAGGGGGTTGAGGTGACTGGGTGACGGGCACTGAGGGGGGCACTTGATGGGATGAGCATTGGGTGTTATATGTTGGCAAATTGAACTCCAATAAAAAGAAATTTAAAAAAAAAAGAACAACTTATCAAACTCAGCACCCAAAAAAACAATCCAGTCAAGAAATGCACAGAAGACATGATTAGACATTTCTCTAAGGAAGAGATACATATGGCCAACAGACAATGAAAAAATACTATCAATCAGGATCATGAAATTACAGATCAAAACCACAATGACATACCACCTCACACCAGTCAGAATGGCTAAAATTAACAATTCAGGAAACAACAGGTGTTGGTGAGGAAGCAGAGATAGAGGCCCTCTTCCACCGTTGGTGGGAATGCAAACTAGTGCAGCCGTTCTGGAAAACACGATGGAGAGAAGTTCTTCAAAAAGTTAAAAAGTTAAAAATAGTTCTAAGCCAGGACCCAGTAATTGCACTACCAAGTATTTATCCAAAAGATACAAACAGGGATCCCTGGGTGGCGCAGAGGTTTAGCGCCTGCCTTTGGCCCAGGGCGTGATCCTGGAGACCCGGGATCGAATCCCACGTCGGGCTCCCGGTGCATGGAGCCTGCTTCTCCCTCTGCTTATGTCTCTGCCTCTCTCTCTCTCTCTGTGTGTGACTATCATAAATAAATAAAAATTTTTTTAAAAAAGATACAAGCATAGTGATTTGAAGGGGCACAAGCACCCCCAATGATAAACATAAAAGCAGCAATATCCACAAAAGCAAAACTATGGAAAGGGCCCAGATGTCCATTAACAGATGAATGGATAGGGGATCCCTGGGTGGCTCAGTGGTTTAGCGCCTGCCTTTGGCCTGGGGTGCGATCCTGGAGTCCCGGGATCGAGTCCCACGTCAGGCTCCCAGCATGGAGCCTGCTTCTCCCTCCTCCTGTGTCTCTGCCTCTCTCTCTCTTTCTATGTCTACCATAAATAAATAAAATCTTAAAAAAAAAAAGTGAATGGATAAAATACAATATTCCATTGTATATACTACTCAGCCTTCAAAAATAATGAAATCTTACCATTTGCAAGGACATGAATGGAACTAGAAGGTATCATGCTCAGCAAAGTCAGAGAATGACAAATATATGATTTCACTCCTATGTGGAATTTATGAAATAAAACAGATGAACATAGGCAAAGGAAAGAAAAAATAAAGACAAAATCAGAAAGGGATACAAACTGTAAGAGATCCTTAACTACAGGAAACAACCTGAGGGTTGCTGTAGGAGAGATGGGTCAAGGGACGGGGCGGGGTAAACTGAGTGACAGGCATTAAAGGAGTGCACTTAAAGTGATGAGCACTGGGCGTTAAACAAGAAGTTGAAAACAAAATTTTAGGGACCCTTGGGTGGCTCAGTGGTTGAGCATCTGGCTTTCAGCTCAGGGAGTGATCCCAGGGTCCTAGGATTGAATCCCACATCAGGCTCCCTCCAGGGAGCCTGCTTCTCCCTCTGCCAATGTTTCTGCCTTTCTGTCTCTCATGAATAAATAAAGAAAAATTAAAACAAATTTTTTTTAATCCCACTTCATCTCATTACTGTAATTCATTTTTGCATACTCCTGTGGTGGAAATTCCTTGATCTAAATAAATCAACATTATAACTCAACATTATTTCATGTCTCCTGAACTAAAATCCCTTTCAATTCTGAACAAGGAATATGATTCTTGGTTTAAATGTCCTACTATACTCATAAATCTCAGCCTATGAAGTTTCACAAGTCATAACAAATGTGGGTTAAGATTTGAGATATCTTTTATTACTATTTTGTGTATTACCATATAGACAGAAGAGATCATAGCATTGTGTTCACCTTCTTTCCCAACTACTCTCTTGAAAAATCCTGGGTACTTCATTATTGCTTTATGTCACAGGTTGGTAAACTATGGTTTGCTACCTGTGTTTACATGGCCTGCAAGCTAAGAATGTTTTTTACATTTTTAAATGATTGAAGATTAAATAAAAATAAAAAATATTTTATTTATATTTTTAAAAGATTTTATTTACTTATTCATGAGACCCACTGAGAGAGAGGCAGAGACACCAAGAGAGGGAGAAGCAGGCTACTTGCAGGCAACCCGTTGTGGGACTCCATCCCTGGTCCCAGGATCACGTCCTGAGCCAAAGGCAGATGCTCAACCACTGAGCCACCCAGGCGTCCCAAAATAAGTATTTTATGACATATGAGAGTCAAATTTGTGTCCATACAGAAAGTTTTATTAACAAAGCAATGTCTGATTCCTTTGGTATTGTCTAACACTGTTTTCACATTATAAATACAGAGGGAGAGTATGGGCCTCAAAGAGGGAAATGCAGCTTATCAGGTTCTTTACAGGAAAGGTTTGGCAACCCCCTATTCTATGTCATAGTACACACCCTACATAATTATATTGTTTTACCTAAACATTCCCTTATCTTTCCTTCCATATTCAACATAAAGTCTTGTTAATAATCAGTCTCCAGGTAAACACATTCTTCATAGACCTTTGAAGTGCACTTCCTCCTGGGAATGGTCACCTACAGATAAAAAGCCAGAATGGAATGCTAGTTACGAACGAACAAATCAAAACCAGAACCAAACCTCACCACCATTATTATCCTCCCTCCAAAGCAAAGCTGAAGAGGCTGGCCACCCCCGGACCCCCGTCAGCGGCTTTCAAACCACCCTATCTTAGAATTGAGGCATTTTGTAAACTAAATTTTACCACTAAAATTCCTAACAGTCAAATAACAATGAGAAAAAAGGTAAATGTAATTTTCCCAAGTTTAATCGTCTTCAAATCATTGGCTACCAGAAAATAAGAGCAAGCAGACCGATTTTATTTAGTATGCATGATTCTAAATCCCTGTACCGGGATCCCTGGGTGGCGCAGCGGTTTGGCGCCTGCCTTTGACCCAGGGCGCGATCCTGGAGACCCGTGATCGAGTCCCACGTCGGGCTCCCGGTGCATGGAGCCTGCTTCTCCCTCTGCCTGTGTCTCTGCCTCTCTCTCTCTCTCTCTCTGTGTGTGACTATCATAAATAAAAAATTTAAAATAAATAAATAAATAAATCCCTGTACCTTGTACACTTGGTATCTCCCACAAATAAACAATTTCTGGCGCTCGGGATAAAAGGTTAAATACTACACTGTGTAAACAACATCACAACTTACACAGAACAACATGGGTCACTGCACTGGGCCATTTGCTTTTGTATCCTCCACTCCTCGCTCGGCAGGGCGAGCGGCAGAATGGCAGGACTAGGTCTTGCACTCCAGCGGGGCAGGTAAACAATGTCTTTACAGCCCGCCTAGAAAGGGTAGGGCGAGGAGCTGCAGAAGCCCACGGCAGGGAAACTTAGCTAATCCCGGAATGTTAAAAGGCTAAAACTCACCGAGTCGGAAGTGACGTGCCAGCTGAGCCCCGCAGGTCGGCCACGTAACTGGCCGCCGCCTCGGCCCGACACCTGCTTCTGGACGGGGCTGAACAGAGGCTAAGTGTGGCGCAAAGCCCGCAAGCGGCCTTACCCTATCCCGCGCGGCTCACGGACCCACGCGGGGCCAGCAAGCGTGGCCGGAGCCAGGCCCCGCAGCCCGGGGGGCCAGCCCGCTGCCCCGGCGCCCAGCGGCGCCCTGCGGGCCATGGGGCTTCAGCGCCCAACCAGGCGCATGCGCGGCCCTCTTTCTCCGGAGGATTCCTGCGGTCACCGGGACGCCCACATTCCAGCCACCTGCCCCTCGGGGTCCCTTCTCGCTCGTGCCTCCTCCGGCCGCCTCTCGCCTCTGGCCCCGCGCCTCCTCCTTCTCCCGCGAGGACCGCTCGACCTTCCCGCGGCGGCCGGCCGACACCCCGGCTCCCGCTGACACGAGCCTCTCGGCGCGGCTTCCGCTTCCGGCGAGTATTGTGTGTCGCGCCGCGGGGCGGGGGCGGGGGGAGGAGGAAGGAGGGAGGCAGCGCTCCGGCGGCTCCGCGCCCCGCACTCCCGGACCTGAAGCCGGGAAGGTAGGTGCCGTCCCGCCGCCGCGCCCGGGCCCTGGGGCCTGCCCCCGCCGGCCGGCTCCGCACGCCGCGTCCCAGCGCCCCGCGACTGCGTCACCGGCCCCCCGCACGTAACCACAGCTGCCTCCGCCCGCCTCGGGCCCGGGCGGACGTTTTGCCGCCCCGGCGACGTCAGCGCGTCCGGCGTTGCTTGGCTACCCCGCCGTTCCCCCGTCCCGCCGCCGCTCGCTCCCCGGGTGAACCTCTGACGCCGTCACCGCGGGCCCCGGCTGCGTCATAGCGGCGGGCATCCCACCTCCACGTCACACCTCCTCCTCACCTGGACGCGCTGTCCTCCCTCCCTGTCAACCGCGACGCTTCCTCTCCCCCTCCACTCCCCCTACGCCACATCTGGCGAGAGAAGATGGAGACGAGGGTGGGACTGAGCTTTGGACGACGCTCAGGAGAGGGTCGCAAGGTGGGACCCCGGACAGTGGTAGAAACAAAACGAGGACGTCCCTGAAGTTTGCCCTTCTACTGAGATGCGAGGAATAGAGAGAAAGAAATGACCAACCCAGAGGCGCCTGAGGCCTCGCTGTGGCTGTGACTCCAAGTCCTCTCTGTGCTTCCCTGGCCTTTGCCCCATTTCTCCTTCACACCACTTCTTTGCCAGTCTAGATCCATCCCGGTCCCTAACTCACCGCAGGTGAGGAGGCCACCTAATTTCTGGAAGCAAGGGGCAGGTTCACTAGTCAAAGTTGGATTCCTTTCGGAAAAGAAAAAATCATCTGACTGAACTTCTCTCCTGGTTGAGGGAAGACTTCAGGTCCAAATAAGTAATCAGCTACTACTCCAGATTAAAACACTTTAAATGTATGTCATTGATATATATAACAATCATTGTCAACCCAACTCATTACATGTCCACTTCTCCCTTAGCACTTAGAGTTAACTATATTTCCTTTCTTCTCTTGGGTCACTTGGTGTGCAAGGGAAGGGATAGGGGCTAGAGAAAGCAAATATTTCATGGATAAAAGTGGTGAATTTCAAGGAAGGAGTGGGGGACCAGCCTTCTGCCTTATAAATCTCTTTGATGCATTTCCAATATTTTGAGCCTTCACTTAAGGGAGACTTTGTCTCATTATGTTTCTCTAATTCCCAACCACTCCAGGTCCTATTAATTGGAGGCACAGTACCTCCAAGGAATTAGTTATCAATAGCTGTTTCAAAAGACTCCAGTCACTGCTGGATATTTAGAAAAGGCTTGTCAGCCCTCCTTTCAAGAAGTATCGACTAATACTCTCTTTAGTGTATTTGCACATATTTATCACTTCTCAGCAGTTCCAAATGTCCAAATGCACGCAAAGAAATGGGATGTTGAATGAATCATTTCATTCCAAGAAGGTGCACTTCCTCTAGACTAGTCTGATAAAAGGAAGAATATCAAATTTTTCTGAAAAGAAGAGCTTGTGACTCTTGCCTAACTTACTCCTTTTATTACCCTTTGAAAAAGTGAGAGAACAGTGGCAGAGAAGGTTATATTCCAAGGGGCTATTGTAATAAAGTTCTTCTGTAATACAAAACTTTAAAATATACTTAAGAAATCTTAATACTTTGACTTTTATGGCACTTTTCACTTTCCCAACTTCCTTTCTCATCTGTTAGAAGAAATATGTCAAACTAGGGATACTTTGGTCTGTTTTTAAGATACATGTGGGGTAAGTCTGGATCAGGAGAGTTATGCTAGGCCAGAGTTGAAGGACAAGCAAAAGTGGAGGTAAAGACAAAAGAGATTGGTGATTGGATGTCAGTGTTCTGAGGAGGGAAAAAAAAGTAGATACCCAGGAGTCACGGGTTTTGAAAACAAAGAGGTTGAGGGGCACGTAGGTGGCTCAGTCAGTTAAGCATCCAACTCTTGACCTCAGCTTGGGTCTTGATCTCAGGGCCATGAGACCCATGTGTTGGGCTCCACATTGGGCACAGAGCCTACTTTAAAAAGGGAGAGAGAAGGAGAGGGAGGTTGAATCTAGCGGAAAAGAAGATGTAAAATACCAAGATAGGGCCAACTGGAGTTAGGATTTATCATGGGAGTAAATGTCAGGCCAGGGATACAAAAATATTAAACCCCCAACTAATATTTTTCTCTCTCTGCCCCCTTTCATCCCTAAGTTAAATAATGGCAGAGACAAGTCTGTTAGAGGCTGGGGCCTCTGCAGCCTCCACAGCTGCAGCTCTGGAGAACTTACAGGTGGAAGCGAGTTGCTCTGTGTGCCTGGAGTATCTGAAGGAGCCTGTCATCATTGAGTGTGGGCACAACTTCTGCAAAGCTTGTATCACTCGCTGGTGGGAGGACCTAGAGAGGGACTTTCCTTGTCCTGTCTGTCGAAAAACATCCCGCTACCGCAGTCTTCGGCCTAATCGACAACTAGGCAGTATGGTGGAAATTGCCAAGCAGCTCCAGGCTGTCAAGCGGAAGATCCGAGATGAGAGCCTCTGCCCCCAGCACCATGAGGCCCTCAGCCTCTTTTGCTATGAGGATCAGGAGGCTGTATGTTTGATATGTGCAATTTCCCACACCCACCGGGCCCACACCGTCGTGCCACTGGATGATGCCACACAGGAGTACAAGGTGGGGAACCAGACACATGATGCCAATGTGGGACAAGAGGGAGGAGCGCAGAGGATGGGAGACTCCCTGGGTAGAGGATCCTAAGCTCCTGAGGGCAAGACTGCATCTGGCCTTACTCTCTAGTCCCTTCAAAGCTACATACACAGAGGGCACACTGTGCATATCTGATCAGCTATCCTCAAGCATGAAGAAGAGCAGTTTTGAGGAGTGCCTCAAAATTGCTTTCTGACTTTTCATAACATTTGAGTCTTATGGGTGTATGCATGGTCTTACATCATTTTTCTTTAAATGAATGAAACCATTTGGAGATGATCAAACTTAGGAAGAATTGAAAGTGGTCTGGTTTCTTCATTCTGTCCTCCTGCTCAGAATGTTCCTTATTTTCCCATTGGTATTGGAAATACATAACATCAGTTTAGACTGATCCTCACCAGACTAAGCTGAATTCATCTGTCATTTACATCTTCCTAGATAATGGAAATGTGGCATCTGATTTAATTACTGTTGGGACACAGGGTATATTTTGAGTAATAGGAACTAAAGATTTTAATACTAGGCACTGAATAAGTATTTTGTTTAATTATGTTAATATTGGAAACAAGATTTAAGGTGATTTACAGTATAAGTAATAAAGACTTTATATTTTCTGGTGGTTTGAGTTGGATGGGAGGACAAGTATAAAGGATATCAGAGTACAAGAAGTCACTTTGACCATAATAGGCAGTCACTTGAGTAAGAAAGTGATAGGATTGGGGAAGGACATGGAGTTGGTGACAGCTGGACAACTGTGAGATTCAGTGAGAGGGAAGTTTGGTAGGTAAGGAGGATGATGGGGACAGGCTGGTGGCAGGAGGAGAGAGCAGAAGTTGACATCCCAAATGACGGGCAAAGAAGGGAGTAGAACCAAGAGGTAGAGAGATGGATAGGAAGCAAATAAATGGTTTAGGATAAATGGGTTAACTTCTGAATGTAGGGTGTTCCAGCCAACCCCAAATGCCACCTCTCCCACTTCCCACCCTCAGGAAAAACTGCAGAAGTGCCTGGAGCCCCTGGAGCAGAAGCTGCAGGAGATTACCCGCTGCAAGTCCTCTGAGGAGAAGAAGCCCGGAGAGCTCAAGGTAAAGGCACAAGATTCCATTTGGGCTGCTCTGCAGGCGGTTAACTACACATTAACCACACATTATTTAATCTACCAGTCCTGATTCATTAGAAAAATGCTGTTCTCTCAAAAACAATGGCTTCTTTGTCACTATATGTTGCACTTAAATTATTTGTCATGAATTAAGTATTGAAGAGAAGGATGTTAGAGATGAAGGAAGGATGGACAGGACATCTTACATGTGGAGATTTGAGGGAGTTCATGCCCGTTCGTCTCCTTTTTTCTTGTAAAGAAGGGAGAGAGTAGGAATAGGAGTCCTTAGAGGGATTGAGGAGAGGAGAATTGGAAGGTCCACTGGAGAGAAAGAAAGAAGAAGCTGGAAAAGAGCTCCCAGAACTACCAGAGACTTTAGGCCCACATTCTCTTAAGTTAGCCCAGGAATGCTAGATAATGTTAGTCCATTTCTAGACTATTCCTCTCTGCATCCTACATCTATAAGATCCTATCTATCCTTCAGGCAGGATGAAAGCCACTTCCTATGCAGCCTTCCTTGAAGCTTTAGAAATTAACTTTCTTAATTTGCATATAATTTTGGTTCTCTTTCATAGCATTACCATATTTGTAGCATGATAGTTTGGTATCTGACTTATTTTATTGGACAGTAAACAGTTCTTTAGTGGCAGTAATAACTAAATATTTATTGAGTCCCAGGTATTAATTCATTGGGTGCCATGACATTCCAAACTTTCAGGGTTGTATTAGGTTTTAAGGTTCTGCCCAGGTTAGAGTTCTAAGAGTTCAGGACAATGAACATGTGAGACCTAGAGGAGCAATAAGACAAAGGAAAGGGAGTCCTGAAGGTCATCTTTAGCAAGGGTGAACTTAGATGCCTTGTAAAGTAGGTATTATTACCCCCAGTTATCTCAAGAGGAAACAAAACCTGAATAAGTATCTAGTCCAAGATCACACAGCCAATATGTGGCAAAATCAGGGATACTAGCTCTGCATTTATCAATAAATATATATTAAACTTCCAAATTCTGTATTTGACACTGGGGAACAATGATGAACAAAAACACAGTCCCTGTCCTGCTTGAGCTTACAAATGAAGTGGAGAAAATAGATAATGACATGGCACAAAAAGCACAGTTGCAAATTCATAAGAAGACAAATAGAAATTGGACCTCATTAAAAGCATCCAGAAGAAACAATGAGTTCTTGGAGTTGAGATTTAGGGATCACCAGAAATTAAACACAAGTTCGAAAATAATAGAAACACTAATTTTTTTAACAATGACAACATTTTGACAGAAAGCAAGTATTATTAAGTATTACTAAGTATACCTTAGTACTTTATATATTTGAATAAAGCAAGCATTTGAATTTTTTAAATTTTTAACTAATTTTGATTGCAAAGGTGAACTTTAAAAAAAAGTTCTTTGTTCTTTTGGAGGGCTCCTGAGAAACTTAAAATATGTGAAAACGAAGCTTATTCCCAGTCTTAACTTTCCTGTTCCTGTTGATCACCTTCTTAAAGGTAAAGGATAAAGAGGGGAATAAAAATTTTTTAAAACCTTCTAAATGCTTGAGCAGAACTGTGATGATTTAAAAATTCAGAGGTCTCTAAAACTACCACCAACATTCCTTTTGTGACCATTTGAATTCTCCTTCCTACCTCTCCCTCATCTCTACTTCCAGAATCAGACCCAGTTCCCCCTTTTAAAAATAAATAATTAGTAATTAACCACACTGAAGTGAAAACTAGGCAAAATTGCTTATCTGTGTAATTTTAAAAACAGACTGCGCCACCCAAATACACCCACACAACATAAAGGAAAGTGATTTAGATAAAATCTGGTATATAAATATTTGGGCACGAATACCCTGAAAGACCCGCAGTGTGTTTTATCTTTGTATGTATACATGATGTCATAAACGATGCAACAAACACAGATTCAGACTGAAATAATTGCATAGTAATGTTGACAAGCACCACACGCAACTTAGCTCTTGGTGACATAATTTTTCAAAATTATAAGTAACTTTTGGTAAAGTTCTAAGAAAAACAAAATGCAGTCTTAGTTTTATTCAGCCGTTTCTGAAAAAAAAAATTCAGGTGTATTAAAATTGGGTAAGGATTACTCTGTTTATGTATAAAATGACATGCAAATCCAGGTCTATGTTTTTAAATATACAGCAGAACATAGAAAATGGTGCAGGACAGTGCATTGTCACAGAGTCATCTCACATATTGTAGTGCTACCAGCCTTACCAGAGTACCTCCAGTTAAGGCAAACAAAAAAAAAAAAAACGCCCTTGTTTTCAAATTATCCCTAGTGGGAAGTAACACCCCCATTAAGAACCATTGCCCTACATAGATAGAGTGAAAAAAAGAAAAGGGATTATGGGATTATATGAAAGATAGCCCTTTTGCTTCCTATTTACCACAGTTATGAATCCTGAATTCTACCCATACATCACCTGTCAATGTACACTAACACACAGAGACACACACACACAGGAAAAACCTGTATTTTACTTGAGGATTAAGAAATAAAATTCAATTATTTTACCAGCATAAATGAGTTTATTCAGGAATAGCAGCAAATTGCAACTCAGGACAAGCAAGCTAAGGTGAAACCATAGGCAAGTCCAGAGAACAAAGAAGACCACTCTTTTATAGAGGAAAGGGGGTAATTGGGAAGGGCTGTTAGAAATGTTAGAAAGTCCTTGGAGGAAACTGGGAGTTCAGTTTAGTGACTTTTCATTGATTGGGTTGTGACAGTCTGTCACTGGCTGGGTTTATTGCCCTGCACAAAGAAAACCTTTTTTCCTCCTGCTGGGGTGGTAAAGATAGTAAGGACTTGCAAGGTGCATCTCTTCGATTGGGTCTAGAGTTGGCCAGTGGGAGGGCATGGGAGCTCCCCCTGCTGGCATCCTGACTGCCTTTTAGTGAGGTTTCCTTTTATTAATTTGCACAGGGTAAAAGTTGTAAGAATATATTTTGTTCCAGTGTGTACCTGAAAAGGCAACCATGGAATGAGAAGCAGCAGCAGCTCTAGAACTGGAGCTATCCAGTGTCTGCTGAGAACTAGCTTGAAATACAGAAATACCTGGCCTGTAAGGCCCATGCTGGCTTTGCAGCCCTTCTCTATTCACCCTCACTATTCACTGCCTTTCAGTCTCTACCTACTTTACTTCCAGAGTCCCAGTCTCTGCTTCTCTTTTCCTTTCCTCTTGGGTTTACTTTTCCCCATCACTCACGTGACACTTGGAGACTCCATCTGGACAGATCACTTATTGCAGTGGAGGTACAGAAGGAAGGACATACTTGCTGATAACCCTCAGAAAGTATTATGGCTGGTGTTTCAGTCCTATATTATCAAATTTCAGGAATGTTAGAGGTTTAATTCTGTGTAGTAGCTGAGAGAAAACATGTTTCAAATTTCAACTACTAATCAGAAACTTCTGGAACTGTCAGTTCTCTGAAGTAATTAAAACTATTTAACAGATTCTTCCCTGAAATCTATATACAGTTGACCCTTGAACAAGGTTAGGCATGCCAACCCCTGTGCAGTGGAAAATCTGCATATAACTTTCGACTCTCCCAAAACTTAACTTTTTATTAGCTTCAGAGGTAGAGTTTAGTGATTCATCAGTTGCATATAATACCCATTGCCTCATCACATCATGTGCCCTCCTTAATGCCCATCACTCAGTTACCCCATCCACCCATCTGCCTTTCCTCCAGAACCCCTCAGTTTGTTTTCTATGATTAAGAATTTCTTCTGGTTTGTCTCCCTCTCTGATTTTGTCTTATTTTATTTTCTGTCCCCTCCCCTATGATCCTCTGATTTGTTTCTTAAATTCCACAAATGAGTGAAGTCATATGATATCTCTCGTTCTCTGACTGACTTATTTTGCTTAGCATAGTACCATCTAGTTCCATCCATGTCATTGAAAAACTTCTTGGTGTTCACTTCGGCAGCACATATACTGAAAAACTTAACTCTTAATACCCTACTGTTGACCAGAAGCATTACTGATGACATAAACAATGATTAACACCTATTTTATATATTATTGTATTGTATACTGTATCCTCACAATAAAATGAGCTAAAGTAAAGGAAATATTAAGAAAATCATAAGGAAAAGAAAATACCTTTATGGTACTATACCATATTTATCAAAAAAAATCCATGTATAAATGAACCCTCACAGTCCAAACCTGTATGGTTCAATAGTCAACTGTATATATTTTGTAACAACCCATTACTAAAATCTTACTGATTCTGATATTTTCCAGTTGGTTCTCTGGTTTTTAGTGGGTAGATGTCTGGCAATAAACAAATGATGACCATCTTGTCTCTAACCTTCTAGTACTCATTACTTTCCTTTCCTTGATAAACTGCATTAGCCAGAACTTCAGAGTTGGGAATAGCAGATATATCTTGTATCTGAAATAGTAGATGTCATTATATTACCGAGTTCTTATATCTTGCATTTTTTTTTTCACTAAATTATAGAAGGACAGGCTTTTTAAAAGTGAATCTCTTTAATGGTCTTCATTCCCGAGTAATCAGTAGGGGTAACAATGGGGATGGAGCCATTATTTACAGAAGGAAATTTCAATGGAGAAAAACATGAATGTCCTATGAAACTATTTCCAATGACACTGGAAGTCTGTGTTAATTCATACACATGGTGGGTAGGTAAGGGCCCCACTGGCCCTGCTAAATATAACACTTTTCCTCTTTTCTCAGAGACTAGTGGAGTGTCGCCGACAACAGATCTTAAAGGAATTTGAAGAGCTTCATAGGCGGCTGGATGAAGAGCAACAGATGTTGCTTTCACGACTGGAGGAGGAGGAACAAGACATCCTACAACGCCTCCGAGAAAATGCTGCTCATCTTGGAGACAAGCGCCGGGACCTGGCCCACTTGGCTGCTGAGGTGGAGGGCAAGTGCTTACAGTCGGGCTTCGAGATGCTTAAGGTTCGACCTTTGTCCCTGCATAGCTCCTCAGGTCAAGTGCAGTATAGGTTTGCACAGGCCATTCTGTCAACCTGGGATGCTCACTCTTCTGCTCTGCTTCTCTAATCCAGTTCTTCCTTCCAGACATACTCAAAGGATCTTTTTCTATAGAAAGGCTTCTCTGATTTCTCCCATCCCCTTCTAATCATTTGTGTTCTTATGTCTTGTGAACAATTATGTACTTAATTTGTACCAAAGAAAAAAATTCCCTTTGGAAGGAGGGAAATCGAGTCTGAATTAGTGAAAAAAACTATACGTTAAAAGTTATGTAAATGTAGTTGCCATTACTTTTAGGTCCTGGAACTTGATTTACGTAGTACTAAAAAAAAAAAAAAAAAATAGAAACCTAGTTTGAAGGACACTTGAAATTATGTATAAATAATATATTACTTTGATATGTAAATAATGCCTCTAAAATGTTTGAAGTAATTTGTTCTTTTATGCCGATGAATGGTGTTAGCAAGGCTGTAGGAAATATGATGTCTCTTATTTTAGGATTAGATTACCAGCATTTGAATCAGTGAGGCTTCATTGTACATTTATCTGCATGTTATGTATTGCTTGGTACTTATTCTTGTGTCCCTTCATGTATGTGTGTTCTGCCTTCCATATTAAACTGGGAAATCCTTGGGGGGCAGAGATTTGTCTTCTTTGTCTTCTGAACCCCAAGTATTCACAAATCAAGATTGGCACACGGTTATTAATGTTTATTAACCAGTACCAGACGGGGATAACAAACAGCAACAGGAGAGTGATTCATTCCTATGGCACCAGTCTGTACTGATCCTCAAGGGAGACAGGTGTGTGGTTGGTACTTGGGGGACAGAGTAAAGAGCGGACACAATCCCTGTCCCTTGCATTGAGCTCCCAGTGTCCTTGAGGAGCAAGACAAAGACACAAGAAACCATTTGGAAGTGATGGCAAATTACCAAGCTTCATGCTAACCAAAAGTTGAAAATGGGGATCAGGTTGGCAGGGATGTACTCAGATCTCTCTGGAGCTCTTCCATTTGCATTGTGACCCACAGCTTGCCCTATTTCTATCTGATAGAAATAAAATCTAGAACTTTGGGGAGGAAGGGGAACCTTTTGCCTTTAGGACCCTTGACTACCAGGACCAATATTGCTTTCTTTTCTCCTTCCCTCTAGGATGTCAAAAGTACCCTGGAAAAGTAAGTGATTCTTGCATCTCTTTGAGTGAGTTAGGTGTTGGCTTAGAGACCAGGAGTACAGTAGAGAGGGGAGACAGACAAGAAAGCCAGGCAGCATCTGGGTAGGATGTGGGAGAATGTTCATTGCATCCATGAAGCCAGTTAGAGAGCAAATCACTGGGAGTAATAGATGTTACCTTTTCCCCTTTAAGCATCAGGACTAACCTGGTAAGGAAGTACCAAGATAATGTAGAACCAGATTCTCCCTATGCCTGTGGATGGAAATGTATCCAAACAATACAGACAAAGGAGGGGTTGGGAGAGTGGGGAGAGTGATTACCCACTTGCATGAAATACAGCCATTCCCCCAGAAAGTTCTGAGATTCATTCCTAAAATAAGGCTGTGTCCAGGGGGCCATGTGGCTCTCCATAGATTGGCAAAAGAAAGCAGTAAGTGAGTACTTGTCTTCAGAGAGGAGGGAGAAAGTGGGAGGATGGAGAATTTTAGTTTCTCCCAAAAAATGGCAATATCTGCATACTCACTCCTCTGGAGCTTCCCTTGACCCTACCCTTTCTTCCCCTATCTCCCTATCCCTCCTAGATGTGAGAAGGTGAAGACCATGGAGGTGACTTCAGTGTCCATAGAGCTGGAAAAGAACTTCAGCAATTTCCCCCGACAGTACTTTGCCCTAAGGAAAATCCTTAAACAGCTAATTGGTGAGTTGTTCCCAAAAGTAAACTAGTAGGGGGAATCAGCAGAGAAGAAAGTCTTTAGGTCCCACTTTATCTGGGCTTCACTTACTTCATCTGTCACTTTTTGTGCCCATAGCCACATCCATCTCTTTTCTTGGCTTTCAGTCTCACTGTCATCTACTCTTAGGCCCACACTTTTCTAAATAGGCACCCAGAGAGGTTAAATAATATGCCTGAACATGTTCCCCCTTGAGAGTAAGAGGGAGAATCATTAACATTTACTCAGAGAAAATAGTCTCAAACCGGAACTGTTCCAGATACATGGTCACCCTGTCCCTAGACCAAAATGCTATCTGCTGTGTATCCTTAACATTTTCTGTTCTTTCTGGCCCTTAAACTATGACTTGTGCTTCTTCATATAGTGAGATGATGTCACAGGGGGGTGGACAAGGGTTAGACAGGAGCCTAAACCATCAGCCTTTGCTGAATCAAGAGCTCATTACTTATTTATTTTAGGGCCAGGATGAGAAGGGATGCCATTGTTCCCTCCTCTCCCGTAGGTGACACCATAGATTGAGAAAGTTAACCAAATCACGGTGTTCTGGGGACCTTTAAGGAAGCAGGCTCTGTAAAGGCAGGCTGGAAGAGTGAGGCAGGGGCATTTAGCTATTCCCATCCTCATCTAGCTCCCCACTCTGGCTTCTCCCGCCAGCGGATGTGACCCTGGACCCAGAGACTGCTCACCCTAACCTAGTCCTGTCAGAAGATCGTAAGAGCGTCAAGTTTGTGGAAACAAGACTCCGGGATCTCCCTGACACACCACGGCGGTTCACCTTCTATCCTTGTGTCCTGGCTACTGAGGGCTTCACCTCAGGCCGACACTACTGGGAGGTGGAGGTGGGTGATAAGACCCACTGGGCAGTGGGCGTGTGCCGGGACTCTGTGAGCCGAAAGGGTGAGCTGACTCCACTCCCTGAGACTGGCTACTGGCGGGTGCGGCTGTGGAATGGGGACAAATATGCAGCCACCACCACGCCTTTTACCCCTTTGCACATCAAGGTGAAACCCAAGAGGGTGGGCATATTCCTCGACTATGAGGCTGGCACGCTGTCTTTTTACAATGTCACAGACCGCTCTCATATCTACACTTTTACTGATACTTTTACTGAGAAACTTTGGCCCCTCTTCTATCCAGGCATCCGGGCTGGTCGGAAGAATGCTGCACCACTTACTATCAGGCCCCCAACAGATTGGGAGTGACAGGTAGGGATGTGGGGATACTTGGAGTGAGTCAGGGTCAAGAGCTATGGGCCTTCCTTCTTGTGACCTGCTGGAATGTCTTTGTGTCTACCTGGTTCCAGTCCTTCACTGTCTAGGAGAAGCACCTTGGTTTCTAGAATGGTTTATATGGAGAAGTAGGTAGGACTGGTCTGGGATGAGAGCAGAGCTGTGTCTCCCTCCTAAGTGTTAGGGTGGGGAGCTCGGTCCCAGGGGTTGTCTCCCCTGAAGTCCATCAGGTTTTCTATTGCACATGGATAGGTTAGGAAGGAAGGGAGAGGCTTTTCCAGAAACAAAAAGTCTATGGGAGGGTCTGACTTGCTCAAAACCAGAAGAGGAAACAGAAACCCCTGTACATCCTTTTAGGGGTTCTTTGACCCAGGATGGTCTTACTTCTTGAAGAAGATCAGAGGGGTCTGTGTACCTCTAGATTAAAATAAAAACGAATGTTAGCTGCCCTTATGGGTCTAGAAGTTAAGGAGTTTTTTTGAGGACAGAGATTGAGCATCAAGAAGATTAGAAAGAAAGTCAGGAAAGGGGCTAAAGGAACAGATTCCTAGAGACTAATGAAGGGTTTCTTTGGTCTTCCATTCCCAGAGTAAGTTGCCATTATGAGTAGGATTGGCCAGAGGTAGGAATGTGGGGAAGAGAGAGTGAGAAGAAAAGAGAGGAGAATGCAGGTCCCTACCTCAGCCTTCAGCAAAGCTGGCCTAGTGCCTGCCTCCTTAGAGTTGGTTATCTCCAAGAAGTTGGTCACTCACCTTTCTCCTGCAGAGATGAGGTACCAGAGACCCTTCAAGACACATCTACCCTTTCATTGCGTTCCCAAGGGAACCTGGAAAAGACAGTCAGGTATTAGAGGAAAGACAAAGGCTTTTCTATCCAAAACCCTGGCCTTAAAAGAATGTTACTAAGCAGCTGCTCCCAAGTTGTCAGCCTTGTTACTTGGCTAAGGTGTTCAAGCCAAAAAGGGAGAAAGGAAATGGAGTCTTTCTCACCCTGAGGACAGGGTAGAAGAGAGAGTGTGTAGAGGGGTGGGTCAGATAGGCAACTTCCTGTAGCCTGTGTGCATATGGCCTGGAACTGTTGTTCACAGGAGCCAGTCTTTTCTTATTTGTTGCCATCCTTCACCTTTTGCCATTTCCCCTATCAGAGAATGTAAATCATTTTAACATTAGGCCAAAATAAACAACTTATAGGGTACACATGTTGTCAAAAAAGGTTACAGCAATGCATGCCAAACCAAACAAATGATATGGAATATCTGCTATTTGGATGATCAGGGGTTCACAGAAGATTGGGACAAGAAACTGTAATTTATTGAGGGTGTTTCAGTTCCTCCTACCACCTCAACAGGACTTTGTCCAGACTCTCCTCTTACCTTTGTGCCTTGACTGTGGTTCTTTGTGGCAAGATGCTTTGGTTGGTAAAACATAATATGGAACAAAGGATCCACTGAAGTGATCTCTGTGTTGTGTGGTAATTTGATGGTGACCCTGTATTGATGTGTAAGAATCACTGGTGTTAAGAATGCATATTCCTGGGGTTCATCCTTGGTGATTTGATCAAGATCTGGGATGGGTCTGGATGTCTACATTTTAAGCATATACCTCATTTGAATGTAGGGACCCTTATGAAATTAATCCCAGAGGAGGTTTTGGCCATTTCTTCTGAGCTGAAAAGCCTGGCTCCCTCTGGCCATCATGATGGGGTTTGAGAAGGGAGAGAGGCCTTATTCTCTCCTGACTTAATGCTGCCCTCTCCCTGTCTTGGAGTTCATTCGTGTTCTGCCCTCCAGCTCATATACATCTACTTCTGACTTGAGGAACTGGTGGTCATGAACTATGAGGCAGAGGTAAACAAAGGATGTCAAACAGAACAAACCAGAGACAGAAGTCAGAGTAAGAGATATGAAGTATATGCATAGAATGGAGAAGGTAGGGGAGGGGAGAGTTTCAGGGGCAGGAGATACTATCAAAAGTTTCTGTGCTCCAGTATCTAAGACTAGAAGTTAGCTAAGATCACCTGCTGTGCACTGCATAATAGGAAGTGGGGTTTTGTTTTGTTTGTTTTTTTGTTAGTGAAAAAGAATGGGAATAAGCTGTGCTTCTTCCTTCCCTCGACCCCCTGATGATCCTTTCCAATTTCACTTCCCCTGGTACCAGTGCTTTTTTGGAATGCATGACTTCTCTTCCTTAAGTGTGTAATCTTCCAGGCATCTGCCTTTAGCTCCAAGGCAGTAGGGCAGAAGTTGTAGCTGGGTATAAATTGCACATAACCATCTTCCCAACCTATCAGCATGAAGAGACCAGTCTTCTGTCCTAAAGATGTTTCGCAGTTTAAGATATGCTCCTGTTCACTAGCCTTTCCTACCTAGTATAATTGATCATGGGCTCAAGGAAGACTAGAAGGAAGCCAAATCTCCGAAAGGGACCCTGGACTTGGATTGTAGGGGTGGGTAGGGGTTTACAAACAGCTGGGGTCTGTGAGGTCGCAGGGCGGCGCCATAGTAGAAGTATGGCGGAAGGGAGGCTCGTGAGTCCAGGAACTACACTTCCCAGGAGGCCATCCGCGGGCGCCCGGGGCGGGGCTATCGGAGGGGCGGGGCCTGCGTCCGCTCGTGCGTGAGGGCTAGCGCGGCGCCGATGGCTGGGCCGGTGAAGGACCGCGAGGCCTTCCAGAGGCTCAGCTTCTTGTACCAGGTGAGTCGGCGTCGGGGGCGTACGGGGAGGCGGCCGGTGTGGCGGGCCACAGAGCAACGGTTTCCCTCCCCCAGGCCGCACACTGTGTCCTTGCGCAGGACCCTAACAACCAGGCGCTAGCGAGGTTTTACTGCCACACGGAGAGGACCATCGCCAAGCGGCTTGTCTTGCGGCGGTGAGACGGTCCGGGACCCTGGCGGCGGGCGGGATGCGGGCAGAGTGGGAGCGGGGAGAGCGGGCGGAGCGATCGGACCATCCCCTCCGCTCACAGGGACCCCTCGGTGAAGAGGACCCTCTGTAGAGGCTGCTCTTCCCTCCTCGTCCCGGGCCTCACCTGCACCCAGCGCCAGAGACGTGAGTGCTCCCAGGGATGTTGGGTGATTGAGGAGCACCGGGCTGGGGAGGGGACCCCGTCCTTCCTTAGATGGGCGTCTGGCGCGGGATTTACAGCGGCCACACACAGCAGGTGTGTTCAGTCGCTAACTCGGTTTAGACGAACTAAGGTCGGGGCAGTAGGGAAATGATGCTGCCGTAGGAGGCAACGCACCCCCATCCGTACCTTTATCTCGCATGGTGGAGCGCAGGATTCACATCACCATTCATTTACTCATTCAGCAAGTTATTTGTCTTTCTAAGATGTCTGAAGTATTGTACAAAATGGACTATTCTCATTGAAATCATAAGATAGACTAAGAAGCAAGAGTAGTGTAGAAAAATGCTTTCCGGGAATCCCCGGGTGGCTCAGCGGTTCAGCGCCTGCCTTTGGCCCCGGGCGTGATCCTGGAGTCCCGGGATCGAGTCCCGCGTCGGGCTCCCGGGCTCCTGGCATGGAGCCAGAAAAATGCTTTACTTAGGGCTGTAAAATCCTTAATTACTTACACCAGTAGTGATAAGCAAAAGGAGTGAGAGATGGAAATTCTAGGCATGTGTGAGGATTCTGAGACAAGTTTGTGGTGTCACGGAGACCAGAGTTCAGGAGACTGGAGTTTGAGGTAGGCAAGGGCAAAACATGAGGCTAGAGAAGGAAATAGGGCAGATCTTGAAGAGGCTTGTTAAGGGGTTTGGACTTTATCTTAAGGGATACCAAAGAAATTGACAGACTTTAAGCAGGGGTAAGATAAATTTGTATTCAAAGTTGGGGAGTGTTGGAATGCCTACTAAAGAACAGTGGAGGCAAAACTGGGTGTGGGAAACCTTTTCTTCTCCTAAACCTGGGCACTCCCCTGCCCCTACTTTTACCTCAGGCTGTAGGGGACAGCGCTGGACAGTACAGACTTGCCTAACATGCGAGCGCAGCCAGCGTTTCCTCAATGATCCTGATCATCTGCTCTGGGCAGACCGGCCTGAGGCCCAGCTGGGGAACCAGGCAGGTGAGAGGTTTGTAGAGAAAAACTGGGGATGCCCCAGGAAGATAGGGGTGATGGAGGGCATAGAGCTGAAGAGGACACATTGGATTCTGGATTGCCGTGAGAGTGCTGCAATCTTAAAAAACTCAAATTCTCATCTACCCAGATCTCAAACCACCACAACCCCTACCAAACGCAGCCCACTCCATTCCAGCCCACCTCCCTGAGGAGAAAGTACAGCGTCAGAGCTCCAGTCACCATTGATGGATTCACCCTTTCAAATAAAGTATAATTGTGTTTCACTTTATGTGCTTCTGAGAGTGTTTCAGCTCTGCATTCTGTTTTTCCTGTTTCAGTTTGTATTTCTCTATCACTGGCTAACCTCCCTGTCTTTGCCAATGCTCATTCCTACCATTCAGAGATCCTGATTTCCATAGACCACTTGACCCCACTAAGCAGCTTCCATTTCCAGGGCCCTGATCCTAGTGCCCCTTCATCCTGCTTTTCAGTACAGTGCCACATTTGGAACTCAGGATCTAGGGTTGTGTGTAAGAGCTTGAGCCTTCATAGAGCAATGCTTCATAGAGCATTTTTTATATAGGGAGCCTAACTGTTGACTAAGGGGCTAGACATACTACTGATGCACTGATGTTGTTTTTAAACAAGGGAAAAAGTTCAGGGGATCAGAGTGGTTTCTGATCCTCTCTCAGAATTGGTCTCTCCCAATTTCTTGGTTTTCTTCTATAAAATCCTAGTAAGGGGAATTGTGCAAACGTGAACTGACAGGGTCAGAGCTGCTAATGAAAGGACACTGGTGGACACTACACAAGTATGCCCCATAGGTACACTTGCAGAGTTTTCTTGAGAATGAGTAAACAACAAATTGTTTTATTTGATATCTCTAAGGAACTTATTCAAAGACAGGATTTCAGACTGACCTCTCTGCTAGGTACCAGCTAATCGATTTACCTGAAACATATACAAATAAAACTCACTATTCTCAGAATGCAATGTTTTTCTTCCCTTTTTCTTGCAAATACTGTGTTGTACTTATATATTGCTGCATAAAAATCACTGCATAATGTGAATTCAAACAACAATGATTCTGTGGACTAAGCTGTCTGAGAGTTTGGCTGGGTAGTAATCTCCTTTTCCATATGGCATCAGCTGGAGTCACTCAGCTGCGTTTAGCTGGTGGCACCTGATCTGGATGACCCAAGAAGCTTTATTTGCATTGTTTGGATGTCCTCACAGCTTGGCTGTCTCAGAGTTGTTGGACCTTTTTTTTTTTTTTTTTTTAAGATTTTATTTATTTATTCATGAGAGACACACAGGCAGAAACACAGGCAGAGGGCAGCCCTGGTGGCGCAGCGGTTTAGCACTGCCTTCAGCCCAGGGCGTGATCCTGGAGACCTGGGATCGAGTCCCACATCAGGCTCCCTGCATGGAGCCTGCTTCTCCCTCTGCCTGTGTCTGCCCCTCTCTCTCTCTCTGTCTCTCATGAATAAATAAATAAAATCTTTAAAAAAAAAAAAAAAAACAGGCAGAGGGAGAAGCAGGCTCTATGCAGGGAGCCCTACATGGGACTTGATCCCGGGCCTCCAGGATCACGCCCTGGGCTAAAGGCGGCGCCAAACCGCTGGGCCACTGGGGCTGCCCCTGTTGGACCTATTAAATGCTCTCTGGCTTCCACAGAGAGCATTTCAAGAGGACCAGCTCCAAGGTGCAAGTGCTTATCAAGCCTCTGTTCTTTAAATTTTTTTCTTTAAAGCTTTTATTTATTTATTCAGGACAGACAGAGACAGGCAGAGACACAGGCAGAGAGAGAAGCAGGCTCCATGCAGGGAGCCTGATGTGGAACTCAAGCCCGGGTCTCCAGGATCACACCCCCGGCCGAAGGCGGCGCCAAACTGCTAGGTCACCCCAGCTACCCTCAAGCCTCTGTTCTTATCACACTTGCTAATATCCCCTTGACAAAGCATGTCAGGTAACCAAGCCCAGATTCAACATGTAAGGGGCTATATTGGGGCATGAACACTGCAGGGGGTGGGGGAGAGGAGGGGAGGGTTGTTCATTCCCTGGGGACCACCAGTTGTAGCAATTTACCACATCTTTATTTTGCCTTCATCCCTGACTCAGTCTCTCCACTGACTCCTTCATATGTCAGTAAATTATTTGCATGGAAAATAGTAATTAGTGTGCAAGTAACTAAATGTTTCTGAGTTCTATTAATCATTACCTGGGACAACGTAGACCTGGACCTTTTTTGTCTTCAGCTCATATTCTTTGGCTGCACCCATGAGTCTCACTTCTGAGCTCATTGGCTCGCTCTTGCACACTAGATCTGATTATTGGCTAAATTTGTTTTGAGGAGTCTGCTTTTCCCTCTGCTGCTTCCCTGCTCACATTCTGTGTGTGTGTGTGTGTGTGTGTGTGAAATAAAATCTTTTTTTTTTAAGTTTTTATTCATTTATTCATGAGACACACACACACACACACACACACACACACAGGTGCAGGGACACAAGCAGAGGGAGAAGTAGGCCTCGTGCAGGGAGCCTGCCATGGGACTCCATTCCAGGTCTCCAGGATCACACCCTGGGCTGAAGGTGGCGCTAAACCACTGAGCCACCCAGGCTGCCCAATAAAATCTTTTAAAAAATATCAGTGAGGGTGACAAAACATGAGACACACCTAACTCTAGGAAATGAACAAGGGGTAGTGTAAGGGGAGGTGGGCAGGGGGTTAGGGTGACTGGGTGATGGGCACTGAGGGGGGCACTTGGCAGGATGAGCACTGGGTGTTATGCTATATGTTGGCAAGTTGAACTCCAATAAAAAAAATAAAAATAAAAAGTTTTCCCATCACTTTCTATTTTATAAACAGCTTCAGAAAAATAGGTATTAATTTTCTTTAAGTGTGTGTTAGAAATCTGATGGGAGGCCATCTGGCCCTGGACTGTTGTTTGTTAGATGATTTTTGATTACTGATTCAATTTCTTTGCTGAATATAGGTCTGGTCATGTTTTCTTTTCCTTCCTGTTTTAGTTTTGGTTGTTTATATGTTTCTATGAATGCCTCTATTTCTTTCAGATTATCTAATTTGTTGGCATATAGTTGCTCATAATATGGTCTTATAATTGTATTTCTTTGGTATTGGTTGTGACCTTCCCTCTTTCATTTATGATTTTCTTTCTTTGGGTCTTTTCTCTTTCCTTTTTGATACATCTGGCTAGGAGTTTATCGATCTTATTAATTCAGAGAACCAGCTCCTAGTTTCATTAATCTGTTCTACTGTTATTTTTGTTTCCACATCATTGATTTCTTCTCTAGTCTTTATTATTTCTCTTCTGCTGGATTTAGACTGTATATGCTGTTCTTTTTCCAGCTCCTTTAGGTGTAAGGCTAGGTTGCGTACTTGAGACTTCTTGCTTCTTGAGTATTGCTATATACTTCCCTTCTAGGATCACTTTTGCTATTTCCCAGAGGTCTTGAATGTGTTTTCATTTTCATTTGTGTCCACATATTTTTACTAATTCCTCTTTAATTTCCTGGTTAACCAATTCATTCTTTAGTAGGATGCTTTTTAACTTCCATTTTTTTGTAGTCCTTCCAAATTTCACCTTGTATTGACTTCAAGTTTCATGGCATTGCATAAAAACCAAGTACTCCTAGCATAGCATTTGAAAATAGCATGGTATGATCTCAGTCTTTCTGTAAGCAGTTGAGACCTGAGTTGTGACCCAGTATATGATCTGTTCTGGAGAATGTTCCATATGCAATCAAGAAGAATATGTATTCTATTGCTTTAGTTTGATGTACTAAATATGT